GCAGCAGGGTCCAGTGAGAAGGACATCAAGGAAATACCACTGGACAGGCAGGAGGAGGCTGGCCTGGCTGAGGACAGTGGAGGTGGCCGTCAGGCTCACATTTGTGAGACGATAGGCCCATCCGGTCTGGCTTTTCACCCCGTGGGATGGTTTCTCTGGGTTTGGGGGACAGGACTCTACTCTCCGGGAACCTTCACGCCCCCAGGGTTATTGCTTCCTCCTGCAGTGCCAATGCTGCCAGCATCTGCAGACATTCTCTGGGGCCTCACTGCTAGGCCTCCCATGCCTTGTGACTGCAGCCTTTGGGATCTTTTCTCTCTTTTCCCAAGTAATGGTAAAAATAGTTTTAGATTTTTTTCTCTTTTTGGCTTTTTGGGTCACACCCAGCAATTCACAGGGGTTGCTCCTGGCTCTGCACTCAGGAATTACTCCTGGCGATGCTCGGGGGACCATATGGGATGCTAGGAATCAAACCCAGGTCGGCTGTGTGCAAAGCAAATGCTCTACCTGCTGTATTTGTACTATCACTCCAGCCCCTAGAATTTTTTTTTTTATTAATTGAGGCTCAAAACAGATTTTTTTTTTAATTAGGGATTAAACTGAGGTTTGACTGGTGGAAGGCTGGAGTAAGTCCATCTGACCTTAGCCTGCTTTTCTGGGGATAAAAGGTCATGGTTGTGCCTACCAGCACCAAGGCATGAGAGAGAAGTGGGGAAGGCTACATTTTGGCAGTCAGAGTGATGGTCCAGCAGAGAGGTACTTGCCTTGCGTATGGAGACCCTGGATTTAATCCTCAGCATTCCAGGCAGTCCTCAGGAATGATCCCTGATGGCAATCAGAAGTAAACCCGGAGCACAGCTTGGATCGGTCAAGAAAAGAAAGAGAAAGGGAAGGGAAGGGGAGGAGAGGGGAGGGTAGAGTGGAAGAGAGGAAAAGCTGCACTTTAAAAACCCACACACTGGGGCTAGAGCTATAGTACAGCGGGGAGGGTGTGTGCCTTACACGCGGCTGACCCAGGTTCGATCCCCAGCATCCCATATGGTCCTCTGAGCACCGCCAGGAGTAATTCTTGAGTGCAGAGCCAGGAGTAACCCCTGAGCATCGCCGGGTGTGACCCAAAAAGTGGGGGGGGGGGAAATAAACACACTTTGGCAGACTTTAAATGGCTTCACTCGCACTCGTGTGTGTACTGGAGCAAGATGCCATTGGTGTGGTGGCAAGTTAATGCTCCCTGATGAGGAAGTGTCTCTTAGAGACATGCCCTGGAAAGTTGTGTTGCTGCCCACGCAGGACAGGCCGTGGGGGGCTAGAGGTGCTGCTGGCTCTGTGTGGCCTGGGGCGGGAGCTAGAGGAATACCAGAGACACCAGAGAAGCCTTTTGCTCCGCCCCATCCCTTCCAGCCTCTGCCCCAGCCAGTTGCAGGATCATCCCACCAGCCAGCAGCTGCCTCTTTTCTGCTACGCTGGTCCGTGGCAGCCCTCTGCCCTGCTCAGCACCGTGCAGAGGGCGTGGGAGGCGAGAGTATGGCTGGGCATGAACAAGTCTGCCAGAGAGCCGGGAGGAGGGATGCTAGGACCTAACTGCAGGCTTTGAAGTTCCTAAGAACCATCCAGCTTCTTGCCGGACGGGAGTCTCTGAGAACAGCCTTTGTACTCCGCTTTCCACCCAGCTGACCTTTCCAACATACAGTAAGCACATATAAATCTCAAGTGCTGTCGACACCTGGTTTTTTTTTTCTTTTCTCTCTTTTTGCGTGTGCAGGTATTTACCCTTGAATCATGTTGATCCAGGCCTCCATTTTGGCTCTTAAAAGGATTAATGCCTAATCCCGGTGTCAGGCCCCACAGGTGTCGGCTCTGTGTCCACCAGCCCTCGGGGCCAGGTGTTGGAGGGCAGGGGTCTGACCTAATGCCACACCTGGCCTCAGGTCATCCCAGAGATTGTTTGGAAGGCCTGCAACCTGAGCCGGGGATGGGGCTCAGGGGCTAGGGCACTGGCTTGCTTATGTGAGGCCCTGACTTCCATCCCCAGCATTGCAAAAAAAAAAAAAGAATTAAAATATACAAGTTCCAGGGCCAGACCTTAGTAGAGCGGGTAGGAGGAGCTTTCCTTGCACGCAGCAGACCCAGGTGCGAGTCCTCACATCCCATACATGCATCATCAGGTGTGGGCCAAAAAAGCAGAAAGAAAGGAAAGAAAAGTCCTGGGCTGGAACAACAGTGCGGTCAGTTGGCTGCTTACTTTGTATGCAGTTGACCCTGGTTCTGTCCCCCAGCGTCCCATATGGTCCCCCACGTCCTGCCAGGAGTGATCCTTGAGCACAAAAACAAAACCCCCAACAGCCCATACCTCTCCCCCAAATACATACATATATAGTTGTAAAGGCCTCCACCAAGAAAGAAACATGACTTTCAGTATTCGGATCAGGCTGCTTTTTAAACGGGGAATCTCCTCAAGCTCGGCACCCAGCAGGCTGCTTCAGGGTGCAAAGGCAGATTTCCAGCCTCTGCCCACTGGGTCTCTACGTTAGATGCCAGAGATGGAGAGAAACTCGCAATGTTTGAGGGGAAAGTTGCTGTCGGGGCCAAGAAGGCCTCGGGCAAGGGAGGACTTGTTGGCAGAGGGGTACTTGGAGAACAGTGATGGTTACTGTCAGGTCCAGCCTGTCCTGCTCACCATGACTCCCTGACCTCGGTGCCACCCTTTCTCCTCCCCTTCCCCTTCCTCTGCATGCCTCATTGCCGATGAGATAATGGGGGCTGGACACAGCATTGAGGGGCGCGTGGGAGGCCACGCACTCTTGGTTGCAGTGTGCCAGAGGTTGCATGTATCCGTCGTGATGCCGGGATCACAGCAGGGCACCTGGGAAGGCACCAGGGGTTGAACTCACAGCCTCGGTGCCACTCTGCCACCCCTCTGCCATTTATTTAGCCATTCCCCAAGCCCCAAGAGGACAGGTGGAGTGGCTCTTCATGCATGTATTTTTCTTGCAATAAACATTAATACAGTTTTTCAGTGAAAAAATATGAAAAAAAAATCACGGTCCTATCACCCCTTTGATGAAGGGTGTTCCCAAGTGAATTTCCTTCCGAGTCTTTTTTTTTTTTCTTAAATGCTCTTGCAGGGGCAGAGTAATAGTACAACCAGTAGGGCATTTGCCTGGCACATGTCCAATCTGGGTTCAGTCTCCAGCATCCCAGGTGTAATTTCTGAGAGCAGAGACAGGAGTAACCCCTGAACATCAACCAGGTGTGGCCCAAAGACAAAAATAAACTAAAAAGTGAATGCCTTATACCTGGCATTCATTGTTAACTGCAGGGTGTGAGGGCATGAGGAGCCAGAGTGGAACTTCTTAGTGAACAGCCCCCCTGAGTGTGGCCCGTCTTGCACATGCCCAGTTGGAAGTTGGAGGCGCTCCCTGGACTCGGCAGAGCACAGAGCGGCTCATGCACACCGAGGCTCACCCCGACCCGTGGGCACTCTCGCAGGCCAGTGCCACCCGACTGTGGGCGAGGAGCAGCTTAATGCCCCAACACTGCGCTGAGATCTCTCGGATCAGACCCTGCCCACCTTGGAGAGAGAACCCTGGGCTGGGGCACTGTGCCTCCATCAGGTCCCTGAGCAGTGTGTGTCCACCACAGAGCTCCATTTGCCCTCTGGCCCCTGCCCTCCCTGCCCTAGTAGACTGACTGCTTTGCCTGCTTGTGCTCAGAACTAAGGACACTCTCCAGAAACAGTGTAAGGTGCGGCTGGGCTGGGCTGGCGGTTCGTCTCGGCGCATTAGGAAGTCCGTTGTGCTTTGTAAGCAAACTCTTGCCTGTTGATAGCCAGTATTTGCATGTCCACTTCTGTGCCACTTGTCAGGATTGTGACTCTCTTTCACCCACCTAACTGTCCCATCTGACAGAGGAGCCCTAGCGATGGTTCCATTTTACAGAGAGGGACGTGGAGGTCAGCCTTGCTAATGGCGCAACGAAACTTTGACTCCTGCTCCCCATGCTTAAGGCCCGTGTTCTTTCTACTACTTCCCTGTGCCTCTTCTTCCCCAAGGCTTTTCACCTTTATTTCAGAGTATCCCCTTGGCCTTTCCGGTAACCCATGGCATAAGTACTTGGTGTTCCCTGACGCATTGGGGTCTGGGCATGTGGTGGCCGTGCCGATGTCACTCACTTCCTTAAATGTGCAAGATGAGACAATGAACACAGATCCCTGGAAAGGCCACACTGCACAGCGGCTTCAGAAGGACTCTCAGTGAGCTCCCTCTGGGTCCTGTCGGCTGCTTGGCGATTAGGCGTCTCCAAGGAAATGTGCTGCGGTCGTTCTCTCTGGTTATCCCAGTGGTGGGAGGGAAACACTGATGTTTGCAAGCCCTCCGCTTGGGCAGAGGCACGCAGAGTCTCATGCAGTAAGACTCGCAAGAGCTTATGAAAACTTGAGGCCGGAGCAATAGTACAGCAGGTAGGGCGTTTGCCTTGCACGCAGCCAACCCGGGTTCAATCCCCGGCATCCCATGCGGTTCCCCAAGTACCGTTAGGAGTAATTCTTGAGTGCAGAGCCAGGAGAAACCCCTGAGCACTGCTGGGTGTGACCCAAAAAGCCAAAAAAAAAAAAGGCTTCTGAAAGCAAGCTGCCAGTTGCCACTCCCACGTGTTCTGACGTGGCAGGTCTAGGGATGGTACCTGGCCTGTCCTGCTTCTAACTAGGTCCTGAGGATGCTGCTGCAGTGGAGGGAAATCACCCTGAGAGAAGCACTTTTCTGAGTGTGCTGTAGAACTGTCCTGACCTGCCTTTTCCAACACATACACACACACACACACACACACACACACACACACACACACACACATTCCCTTTAACCAGGCCCCTCTGACATGCTGTCTCTGATCAAGGGAGCGGGGAAAGCGGCATGAAGCGACACTCTTGTCACTGGGCTTCTGGCGTTGGCCCACCAGGTGTTCGGCTCTCAGAGCCGCTCACTCCCAGGAACGCTGTGTTGCAGGTGGTGCGTGCCGCCGAGGAGGCCGCGTCCACGCTGGCCAGCTCCATCCACCCGGAGCAGTGCATCAAAGTGCTGTGCCCCATCATTCAGACCGCCGACTACCCCATCAACCTTGCCGCCATCAAGATGCAGACCAAAGTCGTCGAGAGGATCGCCAAGGACTCCTTGCTACAGCTCCTCGCTGACATCATCCCGGGCTTGCTGCAGGTAGGACGTACCCCCTGCCGCATCATCCCCCGACCCCCAACCCATGGCGGCAGTGAAATAGGAGCTATGGTGGCAGGCTCCAAGTGATAAACCTTTGCTCCCGTTGTTTGAGGGGACTGGGGGGCAGGCAGGAGAGCCAGCGGGTGAGCCCCCTGTTGGGGTGAAGCTGCATGACTTGTACACCTCGAACCCTCTCCTGGCCTTCCCATCCCTGAAAGGAACAGGGAGATTTCCTGGCAACCCATGACTGGCTCACAGAATGAGCTTTGTTTCCTATAAACATATTTTGATTTGGGGGTGGGGGAGGAGTCAGTTCCTTCAACAAACCCTTTACTATGTGTCCTGTGGGTGCCAGCCCTGGGCAAGGTGGACCCTGAAATGTAGATTGCCAAGGGATGGTCCTGGCTCCTGTACGGAGTGGAGAGATTTATTGTAATGTTTTGTTAAGCAAGAGGCATTGAGTTAGACTCTGGGAAGTAAGAGATGTTTTTGGTGTTGCTCCACTTCCTTCAGGATTTTCAGCCCCCCAAGAGACAGTGAAGACGAGATGGGGGATGGGGGGGGCAGGGAGGAGACATTACCTGCACTGAGTTTCACTGTGTCACTCACTGGGAAGGAGAGGGGGTTTCAGTGGAGAACACTGAGATCTAAGATCCAGGTGTTTTCTGGATTAGGAGAGTGGTGAGAAGGACTCGTGGAGGAGGAGGTTTCTAGTTGGACCCCAGAGAGCGAGATTACAGAGGGGAAGGTTAGAAGAGAAGAGAGCATTTAACATGTGCTGCTTTGGGGGCTGGAGTGATAGTACAGTGAGTAGGACGCTTGCCTTGCATATGGCTGGCCCAGGTTCCATCCCTGTCATATCCCATATGGTCCCCCAAACCCACCAGGAGTGATCCCTGAGGTTCTGACCTGAGCACTGCTATAAACACCCCCCTGCAAAAAAAACAAAACAAAACAAAAAAAGGTTATAATAACAATAATCAAAAAAACAAAAACGAGCTGGGGCGATAGTACAGCGGGTAGGGTGTTTGCCTTGCATGTCGCCAACCCGGGTTCAATTTGCAGCATCCCATATGGTCCCCTGAGCTCCGGCAGGAGTAATTCTTGAATACAGAGCCAGGAGTAACCCCTGTGCATCATTAGGTGTGACCCAAAAGGCCAAAAAAAAAAAAAATGTTGGTATTTGTTGAGCATGTGAGTGGATTCAGTGCTCTGTGGGGCACTGAGTTACTCCAGCTCCCATCAGAGGGAGAGGATCAAAGACTGAAACTCTTCGGGCTACAGCTGGACCTCCCAGGGGTGTGGCGAAAGGCTGGCAGGCCGTGGGACTGGAGTCCCCAGCGTGAGTGACATGTGGTCTCCACTCCTTCACGGGCGTTCTCACCCATGGAATTTCCTTTCCCTGGGGAGCAGCATGGAGGAAGCTCCTTAGTTTCCCCCCTCCACTTCCCTTTCTCTTCATCTCTTGGATGCTGCTGTGACGGCTGGGGCAGCACCCTAGAAAACGGTCCCGCCTGAGACCCATGGGGGGTCTGCAACCCCCAGCGCCCCGCTCCCACACCTCCAGCACCCAGCTTCCTCTCGACAGGGGGTGGGAGGGAACTGGCAAGGTCCATGGCAGAGCCACAGAGCAGCCCCCAGTGTGGCGGGGAGGCCAGGCAGGAACGCGGAGGACGTTCAGGGATACGCGGGGAGCCACTGCTGACAGTGAGGCCGATCTTTGATCTCATCTCCCCTGCATGTCCCCCCTCTGACTCCAGGGTTATGACAACACCGAGAGCAGCGTGCGGAAGGCCAGCGTGTTTTGCTTAGTGGCGATTTATTCCGTAATCGGAGAAGAGCTGAAACCTCACCTCGCGCAGCTCACCGGGAGCAAGGTACGTCTAGAGTTACCAGCCCGTGGCACACCTGGCCTCCGCCAGCCCTAGCCTCAGCAGCAGAATGTCTGCGGCTCCAGACTCCCTCGTCTGCACGTCCTACCCCCGGGGTCTGCCTTCTGTAGGAGCCTTTGCTCTCAGAAACAGGGGGTGTGGTGGGGGGGGGGCATGTATGGTGAGAGGTCACTCGCCAGTGACGCAAACGTGGTCCGGTGGACTCTGTCCCAGTTCCCATTGGGGCAGTGAGCCTGTGGGCACTGCTTGCTCAGACCTTGGGGAGGTCTGACTTTGTTTCAAAATCAGAGCACCAAGGAAATTAGGGCGATCATTATTATTATTTTTTAATAGGAGCCATGCCCACCACCAACCCCCCCCCCCCCCACACACACACACACACACACACATCCACACACAGTGCCCAGGGGCCCTAAAGCCATTCCCAGCCATGCCCGGCCAGCCATGCGGGCCTGATGGCTTGGTACTTGGGCCTGGCAGTGCCCAGAAGCCATCAGACTGTTCTCTGCTGGCAGCAGGTTTGGGGTGGCACCCGGGCTCGAACTCCGGCCTAGAGCATGCTGGGTGTGTGCCCTTCCCTCTGAGCTGTCTCCTCAGTCCAGAAGCCCTGAGGACCCTATTTACCACCTTGCTGGGTGGGCATCAGCAGTGATGATACCTGGCTGTCACCTGGAGCCTGCCGAGTCCCCGACACTGAGGAGGACCCGGTGGGTCTTTGGTTAAGGCAAAACGTCTTAGGGAAGCAGGTAGTTCAGAGAGCACCAAGGTGCCCTTCACGCAGGCCTGCCTTGGTTTCTTCTCTCATCCGCGTGAGAAGAAAATGGCACTTGTGGTGGGCCTTCCACTTGGGTGGAAGTCACAGCCAGAGCCCTGCACAGACTGGGTCCTGCCCCACCCTGGCCTACAGCAGGGTCTGTGACCTTGACATCACAGAGGCGCGGGGCTACTCGGGACTGGGGGCCTGTTCTGTTCTCAGCGTTGTGGGAAGCTCAGCATCGCCTCTTCCCTCAGGAGTTCCACAGCAAACCACACGCCTCAGGGGGGATAGTCCCTGGTATCGCCCCCCCATGGCCACATGCTACCCACCCCCCACACCCCTCCCCCCGCAAGATTAGGAGGCTACATTGTTCTGCAGAAGGAAAACCGCAGCTTGGCTGGGAGCCGTGGATGAGGCCCAGCTTCTCTCTGCTCTGCCCTCCCAAGGCTGCTTCACGTTCCCTTCCCCGCCACCAAAGTGCTGACCTGGGGGTCCCAGCCAGCGCTGCCTTCCTCTCCCCCTGGCCGACAGGGCTTTGTCGGTGGCCCCTGGCAGCACCCCGAAGATAGTCTCCACAAGAAGGAATTTGATTTCCCAAGCAGAGAATGCATCCAAAAATAATATTAGTCAGAGCTCGGTCTTGCTGGGCATTTTTTCCTTTTCCTGAGAGCAGGAGCTGCTCTGTCCTCCAGTTGGGCCTCGTTCCTGCTCCATACCCAGCTTGCAGCTGCCCTCTTGGGGGGGCTGGTTCTGCCCGTTCCCCCATGGCAGCTTCAGGCCTCTCTGAGGCTTAGCTGGGCGGACTCTATCCCTTCCGATGCTGGGAACCTGGTTCACCTGGCCACTGCGATGCTCAGACACGAAAACCCTGTTGTGTGAATATGAACTAAAATACAAACAATTCCCCACCCCCAGTGGGTCACTGACAGAACCCAGTGCTAAGTCCCTGTCTCAATTTCCCAGACCAGAGACAAAGAGAACCAGGCTCTGGCTTCCTGTTTCTCTGTGTGACCGGGCCTGTCAGAACACTCTTCCGCTGCTTAAATGAGGTTAATAAATAATATCAGGTTCTGGAATCTGAGGGGCAGGTGTTAAGAGGTGTCCCATTGCTGTGGCCGCAACACTAGCTTTGGGGACAGACCATCTGCCTCCTCATCGGCATGGTGCCCCCCCACCACCACCACCACTTCTTACCAGCTTGTGTGACCTTGAGCAAGTTTTCTTTTTCTCAAAGAAATGTGTATTGCAAAATTGATAACAGGCTGGAGCGATAGTGCAGTGGGTAGGGCATTTGCCTTGCATGCGGCCAATCCGGGTTTGATTCCCAGCATCCCATATAGTCCTCCGAGCACCACCAGGAGTAATTCCTGAGTGCGGAGCCAAAAGTAGCCCCTGTGCTTCACCGGGTGTGACCCAAAAAGCAAAAAAAAAAGAAAAAAAACATAAAATTGACTGACTTAACCATTTTAAAAGTACAGTTGAATGAGATGAACCACATTCCTATTCACCCTTCTCACCCACTGTTCCCAAAGCTCTCTCATCTAGGAAAATCGAAATTCTGTGCCACCTTCAGTAATGCCACCCCAGTTCTGCCCCGATCCACACCATTCTGCTTTCTGTGTTGGGATTTGACAATTCGGATACCTCAGAAAGTGGAAGCATACAACATACATGTAAAGTCTTGGGTTTGATTCTGGACACTGTCCCCCAAAAATCAGTTAACACAACTTTTTTTTCTTTTTTGGGTCACACCCAGCGGTGCTCAGGGGTGGGGTTACTCCTGGCTCTGCTCTCAGAAATTACTCCTGGCGGTGCTTGGGGTACTAAATGGGATGCCAGGGATTGAACCTGGGTCGGCTGCGTGCAACGCAAATGCCCTCCCTGCTGTACTGTTGCTGCAGCCACAGTCATACAATATTTGTCTTTTAATGACCTGGGTCATTAAGGCCCGTCAGTGTTGTAGCACTGCCAAGATTTTCTTCATTTTAAAAGCTGACCAGTGTCGTGTGTATATGTGTGTGTGAATCTTAATATTTTACTTATCTGTTTCTTCATAAAGGCTACCTTAATAGTCCCACTTTTTGGCTATTACAAATAATGCTGTTAGGAACACAAGTGTGCAAATATCTCTCAGACCTTTTTTTAATGCGATAAACAACCAAACTGGGGGCTGTGACGCCAGGTGTGATGTCAAAAAAAAAAAGAGAGAGAGAGAGCCAAAGACCTGACATTTCTCTAAAATAATAATAATAATCATATGGCTAAGAAGTATATCAAAATATACTTAATATTACTAATATTAAATAAAGGCAAGTTTGAATTATAGAATAAAGGTAGCTGAAAAGACATATAAGGGTTAAGGGATTTTGCTTAGCAATTGACTTGAGTTTGAAATCCAGCACCCCGTTTGATCCCCAAGTACTGCCAGGAGTGATCCCTGAGTGAAAAACCAAGAGTAAATCCTGAGTACTCTCAGATGTGACTTCAAAACAAAACAGAAAAAGAAAAAAAAAAACCCACCCCAGAATATATGGAAAAGCACTTCACACCAGTTGTCAGGAGGGCTGTGGTCACAAAAAGAGAATAGTAAGTGTTGGTAAGGATGCAGAAAAACTGGAATTCTTGTGCTGTTTATGTAAGCATAAAATGATCCAGTTTGGTTGGGTTTTTTTTTCTTTTTTTTGTTTTTTTTGGGGGGTCACACCCAGCAATGCACAGGGGTTACTCCTGGCTCTTGCACTCAGGAATTACTCCTGCCAGTGCTCAGGGGACCATATGGGGTGCTGGGAATCGTAGCCGGGTCGGCCGGGTGGAAAGCAAATGCCCTACCTGCTATGCCATCACTCCAGCCCCATTTTGGCCCATTTTTTAATTGAGTTATTTTTGTTGTTGAATTATAGGTCTCTGTATTTTGAATATTGGTCCTTTATCTGGTACACTTTCAGTGGTTGCCTTTTTACTCTGTCGATCGTGTCTTTTGATGCGCACATTTTAAAAATACTTAAGTCACATGTGTCCGTCTGTTGTTTGTGCCTTTGGCGTAGTATCTAAGAAATGGTTGCCAAATTCATTGTTGTGAGCTTTTGCCCTATGTTTTCTTCTAAGCTATCTTCTAAGTTTAGCTCTTTTTTTGAGTAAAATTTTTTGTTATGTAAGGGTTCAGCTTCATTCCTCTGAATATTCAGTTTTCCCAGAACCCTGCATTGTTATCCTTTCCCACATTGAACAGTCTGGGCACCCTTGTCATGAGTCATTTGAACATATATTGTGAGGATTTTTTTATGGGGCGGGGATGCTCTGTACTATTTATCTTGCGGCTTAAAGTGTTACAATGTTTTAATTACTGTAACTTTTTAATAAGTTTTGACTATTAGGAGTGTGAATCTTCTAACATTCTTTTTTATGATCCTTTGGCCAGTTGAGATCTTTTGAAAGTTCATGTGAATTTAAGATTGCTTTTTCTGTTTCTACAAAGAACCTCATTAGGGTTTAGTAGAAATTTAATTGAATATAATTCAGATCTCAGGAGTTTTTACTGTACAAGTCTTTCATTTCCTGGGTTAAGTTGCTAAATATTTTGGGGCTGGAGCTTTACTACAGCCAGTAGGGCATTTGCCTCACATACCTGACCTGGGTTTGCTTCCCCGGCCTCCCATATGGAATCCCTAGCACTGCCAGGAGTGATTTCTGAATGCAGAGCTTAGAGTAACCCCTGAGCATCACCGGGTGTGACCCTAAAACAAACCAAAAAAACGAAATATTTTATCCTCGTCAGCACTGTTATAAATGGTATTGTTAACTTCCTTTTCAGATGGTTCACTATAAAGGTATAAAAATACCATTGATTTGCTGAAGTAATATACTAATCCTAACAGTTTTTTGCAGTTTTAGTGTTTTTCTTATTTGGAGGGTGGAGGTATTGTCCCTCCAGCAGTGCTAGTCCTCATAGCTAGGAGCTTGGCCATGATGGGCTGACCACATCCAGAGATGCTAAAGGTCCCTAGGGCCAAGCCCAGCATTCTCAGTGAGGCATGTAGTGCTGAGGATCAAACTCAGGGCCTCGAACATATGGGGTATGTGTGTCACCCTTTTAAATATTTTCTCTCATCCCTTTTTTGTAGAATCTTTAGAACTTCTTTTACTTATGATCGTTTATGCATGAAATTCTTTTCCAGTGTGGATGTCTTCTCTTTTTTTTTCTTGCCTAATTTCCCTTGCTGAAATTTTCAGTACTATAATATTTAATAGAAGTTATTAAAATAGTGGAGTTCATGCCCAATTCAATCAGCCTAATCAATGACTGAATAAATAGCAATACTCCTACATTAAAGTAATAATAATAATAAAAAAGAGGGGCCGGAGCAATAGCACCGCGGGTAGGACGTTTGCCTTGCACACGGCCAGCCCGGGTTCGATTCCCAGCCTCCCATATGGTCCCCTGAGCACCAGCAGGAGTAATTCCTGAGTGCAGAGCCAGGAGTAACCCCTGTGCATTGCTGGGTGTGACCCAAAAAAGGGGGGGGAAAGGAAGTCATTAAAATAAGCAGTCTTATCTTGTTCCTATTATCCTTAACTTTCGGGGCTAGAGAGAGAAAAGGTTTAAAGATGCTTGTAGTTCATGTGACTGATCCAGGTTTCATCCTCAGCATAAGATATTCACACCCACTACCAAACCCTGCCTGGAGTGATCCCTGAGCACAGAGCCAGGAGTGAGTACCACTAGGTGTGGCCCAAAAACAAAAAAAAAAAGAGAGAAAGAGAAAGAAAAAAGTTTTAGTCTTTCACCATGGAATATACAAGTTATTGGTAGTTTTTCACACATATATGTGTTGAAATTTTCTTCTCTTCCAAGCTGAGTATTTTTGTTATCAAAGTATGTTGAAAGCATGTTAATATTTCTGTCAGCTATGATCGCACAAAGATGAAATTGTTTAGCTACACGATTCTTAGAACATACATTCCTATTGTTGACTTAAGACTACTTCTATTATCAGTTGAGATGATCATGGTGAGTGTTGTGTATTACATTGATTTTTATATGTTGGATCATCCGTGCATTTCAGAAACAGACCTGCTTGGCTGTGGTGTAGAATCATTTTAATTTGTTGTATTCATTGTTCCAATCTTTTCTTGAGGATGTTTGTATCGTGTTCATCAGGAATACTAATCTCGAACTTCCCTGTTTTATGTCTTTGACTTTGGTGTCTGGAGAGTGCTAACCTAATCTTATAGTGTAAATTTGAGCAGTGGTCCTTTTTTGATTTTATTGAAAAGTTTAAGACAGTTGGTAGTCCTTCTCTAAACATTTGGTAGAATTTACAGTGAACCTCTCTCTGGACTTCGCTTCATCAGGAGATTTTCGATTACTTCTTCCTTGAGTTGTAAGTCTATTCAAATTTACTTCTTTTTTTTTCCTTTTTCTTTTTGCTTTTTGGGTCACACTTGGCAATGCTCAGGGGTTACTCCTGGCTCCTGCACTCAGGAACTACTCCTGGCAGTGCTCAGGATCATATGGGATGCTGGGAATGGAACCCGGGTCAGCAGCGTGCAAGGCAAGCGCCCTACCTGCTGTGCTATCGCTCCAGCCCCTCAAATTTACTTCTCAGTTCAGTCTTGATAAGTTGTTTCGTTTCTAGGTATTTTTTCTTTGTAGACTATCTACTGTATGCCAAACACAGTAACAACAAGTCTCAAAATGAAGATGTTACTGGGCCCGCTCGGGCAAATCTATGAACAACAGGGAGGACAGTGTTTGTTTTATCTACTATGTTTATGTATAGTTACTTACAGTTTTCTCTTACCAACTTTTTATTTCTGTAGAATCAGAAATAAGACCCCACATTATTTTCTTATTTGGGTATCTGGTTCTCTTTGATTAATACATTTAGTTAAAGTTTTTCCAGTTTTGTTCATCAGAGAAGATAGTTTGTATGATGTCTGGCTTTTAAATCTACTGCGAGTTCATTTGTGGCCCACAGTTTGACGTGGATGTAATCTTCTGAGCAGATTCTGCTTTGGCATTGGGTTTTCTGTGTGTGTCTAGTTAGTGTCCAGTTGGTTTAGTGTGTTGCACATCAGTGAGGGAAGGTCCCTCACTCTAAACAAAGATATCCATGCGCTGAAGCACTATGTTTTTCATTATGCATTTGTAAAAATCTAAAATGAAAAAGCAGACTGCGCCGTGACTGTGAACGAACATGAAGCTGTCCACTACCTGTGCAAAAAAGCAAGACGAGCACTGTGGGAACTAGTGTGGGTCAATCCCTAAGGTGGGTTCTGAGGTAAAAGCCACAAGCCTTAATGTTCCCTGCGCGCTTCTTGTGTGGAAAGCACTGCACACCGTTGGTGTCTGTTTACATCTGTTGGGAGCTCATTGGGTGGCGCAGGTCATCTTCTAAAGTGGCATTGTCTCAATCCACTGGTAGTGCTTTTTCCAGAAGGCCCGACTTTCTCATGCACCTCACTCACTGCAGTGAACAGCTCTTCCTGAGTCCCCCAGACACTAAACTCTACTCCCCGCAATTGCCTTAGATTGTCTAAGCCCTTTAGAGCCAGGCAGGTGCAAACCTACAGACGGAATCACCTGGGATTCCGTGCACTTACACGCTATGTGTTACGAAGGTGCTGGTGGGCATTTCTCTTTCTACCTCCACCCACCCCAAATGGGCATATTATCAATGTAGCATGTTAGTTGTGGTCAGGAAAGGACCTTCTCTGTCCCCAGTGGTTTGATGTGCTTGAGGATGCAAGAGGCACCCACATTCACAAATTTGCAAGCCCTTCCCAGAAAGGATCGGGCAGCTGATGGACTTGCAGCAGTTCAGTGTCTGGACGCAGGTGTTCTCAGTGTGCTCACTGTAGCCTGAGGCACCTAAGTGTGCAATTGGGGGCCGTGGGGAGTGGGACAGAACGTGGCTGTGCCACGGGACCAGTAGGCACTGGGAGCAATTGAGCATCAGAAGTCGGGGATGGCTCCCTGGAGGAAGGTCCCAGATGCTGCATTACGTGGGGTCAGTCTCAGTGACAGAAATGGGGGTACAGAGAGAAGGCATGCTAGGAAGAGGAGTAACTTCAGCCCAGGTGGAAAACTTGACCCTTGACCTTGGCTGAGCCACTTGTTCCCTGTGGGCTGTGGCTCGTCATCCTACTTGTCCCGGTAGCTTGATTGAAACCACCTGCAACTTGTGGCTTGGCTGCACCCCAGCAGCGTCAAGCTCTGCCACTCAAGGTGTCCCCCTTGCGCAGGGAGCTCTGTGGCCCACCAAGCTGTAAACAGGACCCCCTGCTCTTCCTGTGCCAGTCCATTGTCCATGGCCCCCTCCTCTGCACTCTAAGCTGGACCCCGTCTCTGCGGCCCCAACGCCCAGCAGCTGCACCCCATGGGGACATGGCACTCAGGAAGCTGCTTTGCCAAACTGTGTCTCATCCCAGGACACACAGTTTCCTTCTGGTCCCGTGAGTTTGGGGCCTGTTTTCTGCCTTCTGATCGCTTTCCTTCCTGTTCCATGCATTTTTGTCTCTTCTCTCTGCAGATGAAGCTACTGAACTTATACATAAAGAGGGCCCAGACCACGAACAGCAACAGCAGCAGCTCCTCGGATGTCTCCACACACAGCTAATGGCCTTGCCTGAGTCTCTCTCCGTAGCCCTAAGTAGAAGCAATCAGTGGTGCCTGTCAGAGACCTTCCCACCCATCCCCCATCATCGACTGCCTACCCACTCAAGGAGGCCCGCGAATATTTATTACAATCAGTATTTTGGTCCCTTCCAGCTTTTGTGTAGGATTTTTCTGGCATTGAATGTATCCGAAGCAAGACCTGTGTGGCAGCCTTCATACCGAACAGGAAGGAAAAAGAGAAGCCAAGAGCCATACTCAGACTCCTCTTGTGCAGCCCGCTGAGGTCCTGAAACCCTGTACGTGTGTGTATTGGGGGGGAAATGTCCGGTTTCTAAACTGCTAAGCTCTAACCTGTACTTGGGAGGAACTCACATGTTCTCTTTGGTTGGTGACACATGGAACTGCATGCAGTGCGTGCGTGCGTGCGTGCGTGCGTGTGTGTGTTTCTCTTACATCGTAGCTGACTTTCTTCTTGAGTCAGGGCCTGTGTGTGGGCAGCACCCACCCCTCTCATCCTGACACCATGCAAAGGTGGGGTGAGTTTCCAGTTGCCTTTGAGGACCTCCGAACATTGTGAACGAGCCTTGGCAAGAAATGAAGAGAAGCCTGAAGGACAGCGTGGCCTTTTAGTAACAGGCAAAGGAAGTTCGCCCCCTGGGTTCAAGGCAAAATTGGTTCTAGGACAGGTCCCTCTGTGGTCCCTTCCCAGGCCAGGCTCCTGGCCCCTCCCAGCCGCTCCTGAAGCTCTCTGCCTGCCCTTTGTTCAAGTCAAATGGTGGAAGTTTAAATCCAAACACAGAAATCAAGGTGAACTTATGATATCAGTGGGGCATCTATTATGGCACTTCATGAAGCATGGAGGACTCAAGAGAACGCGTGTGTTTTGCTCCTGCGATCTTGGGGAAATTTCTGGTGGGGCCTGTGAAAAGACTGGCGACACCCAGAGAGTACCATCTCTTTTCCCCAGCCTTTGTCTAAGTTGCTCGATCCTGAAATGTGCTCCGTTAATCTGACAGATCACAACTTTTCCATCTCGGTTTGGATGACTTCGTTTATTTGAGGATTAAAGTCAAAGTGACAGAGCAGATTTTTTTTTATGGCCTGAAGTATTTCCTTGATCTGCTGTTGATCGGTCCTTGTTTAAGGAAAAAGTAATCATGATGAGTATCAAGTTGCAAAAAAAAAAAGAAAGAAATTTTTTTAAATATGATTTTTTTTTTTTTTTTTTTTTTTTTTTTTGCTTTTTGGGTCACACCCGGCGATGCTCAGGGGTTACTCCTGGCTCATGCACTCAGGACTTACTCCTGGCGGTGCTCAGGGGACCATATGGGGTACTAGGAATCATGTACTGTGTCAGTCATGTTGGCTGCGTGCAAGGCAAACGCCCTACCCGTTGTGCTATCACTCCAGCCCCTTAAATACGATTTTTACCATTTTTTTTTCTTCAATGAGAAACTACTGAAGAATCTGCTCCTTTCTTTTAAAAACTATTGAGTTTGATTGCTCCAAAAAAAGTATTTTGGGCATCTGGTTTAATAAGTTGTAAGTAAAGTTCTTAAAGTCAAATGGGAATTCTGAATGCAATCTTGATGGCTTTCGTTATCTGCGACTTTTTCCATCACTTCTAAATGGAGTTGACATTTCCATTAGAAGCATGCTTGTCTGCTGATTTGTGTTCAAGGAAGAAACGTTTGCCGCCCCTACAAGTCCCTGCAGCCTCCTTCAGCCCCCAAGACCCACCTCTCTTTGGCCTTAGGATTGTGAAAGATACCTTAGCAAACGTCACTCATTTTCACTCATAATTTATTCTGTTTGGAAAATAGGCACTGAAAATGAAGGTCCAGAAACAATGAAGCTGGAACACCTTGAATACAGGGCGTGTGTGTGTGTGTGTGTGTGTGTGTGTGTGTGCGCGCGCGCATCACCTTGCACATGGAGGAAGTCAGGACCCCACTGCTGTTGAGAGAGAACTTCAGGGGTGTAGATGAAGTGGCTGGCTGACTTTGGGCTCCAGATCTAGCAAGCGCAGGCCTTACTTCGATCGATCAATTTCTTATTTGTTGTCCTTTCTGTTTCACCCGGGATGTCTTCCCACCCTCTCCGAATGAATCAGGAGCATCTCTTGATTACTCCTCTGTTGTAGAAATCTGCGTTCCAATTATTTATGAGTTCTCTCACTCCCAGGGCTTTCTCGAAAGACCTTTCTACTCGCAGACCTTGCTGCCCAGACCCCTGCGGTGTGTCCTCCTCCCTTCCACCCTACCCCCCCCCCATCCCTCAGTTGGAAGAACCTTGAACTTTGCACTCATAAAGGGCTGGCCTCACTGCCCCGGGCCCACCCTCCCATCTCTCCCCACCAGACATACAATCACTTGCAGGTCTCTGGGCCTCCCACAGATGTGCCCACCCGCTGCCGAGGAGACTCGCATGCCGCCACCAACCTCAACGCGGAGGGAGCCGCCCGCTCCCGGCGCCCCCAGCCGCAGCCGCCTTGCCTTGCCGCTGCCACCCCACAAGGCTCTCAGATGCAGCACCCACCACCAAGGCGCGGGACCCCGCCACGGGCGTCGCGCCCCGTTTACCTGACTGTGCAGGGCCCCCCAAACACCTACCCACCCACCCCTCCCACCACCACCCCCCTCCAGCCACAGGGCCGGTGCGTCAGGCTCCTGCTCTCCTTCAAGCTGCTGCCATTCCTCCTGGACCACAGTGCACCGAGGGCGGGGGGGCGGGGGGGCGCCCCTAGCACGCTCCTGAGGACACTGTGTGTGCTGGGGCCCCGCGCCCCGCCCAGGGCCCGCCTTTCTGTGGCTCGTCAGACACTCGCTTCTTCTCAACAGCCCATGCTGGCAATGCAACTCATCTTGGTCTCATCCATCTTTTTTTTTTCTTTCCCCACCGCCCATTATTTTTCAAAATGTCATTTGACCCAAGAAACAACAGCAACTGCAAACTCAGTAGCATCCCATCAGGACTTGGCACACAATGACATTTGGAAATGGGGGAAAAAGAGAGAGAGAGAAAGAAATTGCCCTGAAAAGTCTCAGCCACCAAAATAGTTTGTTGGCACTGTGTTGACAGCAATGACGCATGGCCCCCATTCCCCCCCACCCCCCACCTCCACCCCCAGGTTGGGTTTTTGGTTTTTGGTTTTGTTTGGGGCTTTTTCATGTTACAATCCATATCTGTGTTTATATCTTTTATTTGTTTCACTTTCAAGTGTATCATGGCAAATGTACAGATTTTTGTTGTTGTTGTTAATAATGTGCTAGGATTTGCTAAAAAAGAAAACAAAAAAAGGACCCTTTTGAGTTTGCCCTAGAATAAATGAAGATTAATTCAGTTTCCTGCATTGTGGGTGCCACCTTCCTTCTCGCCCACTCGCCCCGGCCTGGGAATGTAGCTGTGTGGCTGGGACCGGAGCCCATGGCTGCTTTCTCCTTAAATAGGTCAAAGGGCTGTAGCCTGCGGGGTTGAGGCGGGTTGGGGGCTCCAGCATGGAAACACTGGGGTTCCGGGAGCCGGGCAGCCCCTTTCCTCACCTGGGCAGGAAGAACATTGCTTCCAGAATCCTGAGAGCAGGTAGGTGCTAACCAGGGCCTGGGGAGGGCTTGGGAGTGGCAGCACATGGTTTTTGGAGGCTGCATACCTGACCCCAGAGACTCCATCTGTTTCTTTGAACTTTGCTTTGCTGAGTTTTCCACCATGGCCCACAAGGCAGCTCCAGCGTCAGCCCCCGCAACTGGGATCCCCCTGCCCCCTCTGTGAAGGACACCACCTCCACCCCTCCTGGGGCCCATGACTGAGGAGCCACGCAGCTGTCAATCACTTCCTGCCTGTGTAGTCTTGTTTGTCCTGTGGAGGAGAACCAGCTCACAGAGGTGCTGTGAGGGTTCCTTGAGATGGGGTGAAGCCACTGATGTCCACGGTGGCCACTGCTATCAAGGGGAGATGCTCGGGAGGGAGGGAGCCCCATGCCTAGGTGGGCAACCAGTCCATTATTCATTAGCAACCATGAAAGCCCCAGTGGCAGGAGACCCAGCGTTCTCACCCTTGGAGCTATTGCCCTTCCTTAGTCCTTGCCATCCTTGAGACCATCACAGGCCAGGGTATGTTGTGAGGGTCGGGGGACAGCAAACCCACTGCAGTTAGCAGTTGCGAAAGTGCAGTGTGACTAGGGCATGAATGGTCTGGGAGAGAAAATAAAATGGCTGGGGGCCAGAGTGGTAGTACAGTGGGGCGGGCATTTGTCTTGCACACAGCCAGCCCAGGTTCTAGCCGCGGTGTCCCATATGTCCCCCAAGCACTGCCTGGAGTAATTCCTGAGTGCAGAGCCAAGAGTAACCCTTGAGCATCGCTGGGCGTGACCCAAAAGTTAAAAAAGGGTGGGGTGCAAAGAGAACACTGGGTAGGGTGTTTACCTTGCACACAGCAAACCCAGATTCATTCTTGAGTATCCCATGTGGTACCCTGAACCCCAGTCATTGTTCCTGAGTGCAAAGTCAGGAGTAACCCCTGAACATTGCCCGGTGTGGCGCAAAAACATTTCTACTCAATCATAGAAGTTTCCAGGAACCTACTAAGCTTTTCAGGGCAAATGTTTGATGGCTGAAACACTTGCACTGGCCACTCTTGGGCATTCGGCAGGAGAGGGGAGTGGGGAGGGCATTGATAATCTTTGTTTTCTTGACTTTTTCTGTTTTGGGGGCCACATCCGACAGAGGTCAGGGTTTACTCCTGGCTCTATGCTCAGGGATCATTCCTGGACGTGCTGGTGAGACCACATGGGGTGCCAGGGATTGAACCCAGATTGACCATGATACAAAGCCAGCACCTTAACCCCTGTTCTGCCTCTCTGGACACCCTCGATCCTTTTTAAAAACATTGTTCTGGGACTGGAGCAATAGCACAAGCGGGTAGGGTGTTTGCCTTGCATGCAGCCAACCCGGGTTTGATTCCCAGCATCCCATTTGGTCCCCGGCACACCGCCAGGAGTGATTCCTGAGTGCAGAGCCAGGAGTAACCCCTGTGCATTGCCGGGTGTCACACAAAAAGCAAAAATAAATAAATACAAATAAACATAAAAGCATTGTTTTGTGGTGCTAGGGGGTGATTCCAGGTTGCTTCCTGCTGCCTCGATCCATGGCTCTAAGAGTCCAATGGAAAGAGGCAGCGATAATGCCCACACTAAAACCTCTTAAAATCTCACCAGCAGTTTCCTTGCTGATTTTCGCACCAGGATTACGAAGTGACTAGGGGAAGTGCAGGCACAATTGGTTTCCAGTCAAGGTAACTCAGGCACCTGGAGAAAACTCAATAGGATTAGAATTGGCCTGGCCCTGGGCTCCTGCCTGTGTCTGACAGCCTCTCGGCCTGCCCTGTGTCTTTCTTGAAGTTGGCAGTTGTCTGTCCCCGGCCCCAGAAGCAGAGGGTTGGAGCCCACGCTGGGGGGCCGTTGGTTCTCTGGGGCTGAGGCAGCACATTCCCAGCTGGTCCCCAGGTGCTGCCGCTGCTGCCTGCCGAGAGCCTGCGTAGCACATTGGCTTTAAAACCTAACAGGTGGTTTGGGCCCAAGCTCTAGGACAAATCCTCAAGGACAGCTGTTGCAGAAAGCATGGCAGACTGGAGTGTTCCGCCAGCCTACATGACAAGTAATGGACGGTGACATGTCACATCACCTAGACCCGGGCTGTGGCGGGTAGAAGGTGCCAAGGGGAGCACGGCTGTGCTGGGTTGGGGCTGGGGGGGCGAGGCACATTCGGGGCTCCCAGAGCTCGCCACTCGCCACCAAGGGAAAACTCTTCTCACAGAGCCTCCGTGCAAACTTCTCTCCGGGCCTCCGTTTCCTCCACTATTTATTAACTCAGACTCCAGTGGCTGCAGGCGAGAGCGGACAAAGGTCATGTGAATGGGCACCTAATCCCAGGTTGTGTATTTGGAAACATTTAAATACTTCCACGCCAGTGCCCTCCTCAGGTGCCGCGCCTGCCATTGAGCTCCACAGAGCGGGGCCCCTGGGGAAGTGGCCCCGCAGCCCCAGGATGCCTCCCTTGGGAGCCCTCCCTGCCAGGGCGGCCCCAGTCCAGGGTCTGGATTAGAACTGTTTACCCTAGCAAGAGTAGTGCAAATTGTGCCTCTGGCCGCCTGCACATGTCGGGGTTTGAGAAGCTCCCCGTGTAGC